TGATTGAAAGAAGTAACTTCAGTTGACCACGAAAACGTAAATGATTTTATTTTATTTTTTATTTTTGCGAAATTTGTTCCTGCATCTAGAGATGCAACAAAAAAGCGATATATATAATTATATAATATTAAAACTTAAACTGGTGTGAAGGATGGAAAAGGTTAGTCGCCCAATGTCAGCTTAGCCTAGTTGTAATTAAGTAGTAGGTCCCCTAGGCCACTGTCATTTTAGTCTATGGGTCGACCCGATTTTGTATGGAGCATTTGTTGGACAAGTGGGCTAATGTAAATACTTAATTATCTATTAACTAATGTGAATAATTAATTATCTGGAATTTTGTGTATCGGTAAAGGTTGAGTTCTTTGATAATGGGAATATGGAGCACAGTGTTTAGGATAAGGTTCGAAACCAATAAGGATTATGGACAGAATCGACTGAATTCTTTGGAATTGGAACTTTTGGATGAGCCCCACAGTAATATTCCATGTTGTAAATTATAAGTTTGGTCTTTAGTGAAAGTTTTGTTTGTTTGTCTAGTATACGTATAAGAAGTTTGTATCATTTGTTAAGTTCCTGCCTTTTCAATTTGGTGTGGGAGTTCGGTGTCGGTCTTTTATCGAGAAACATGCCTAGATATTTTACTATGTCAGTAGTCGATATAGGTATCTTGTTAAAGTAGTGTTAGAAATGAAGAGATAAAATTTTTTTTATACGTCACTGTTTATAATACAAAATTAGCCCGCCTTTTTGACGATATTAAAAAGGATATGAGATTTTAAAAACTTGCAATTATAAGGCACAACTCGTTGGGAAATGATATGGTATATTTAAATAAAACTTACGATAGAGAACGGAAAAAAATATTATATGAGGAAAGCCGCCTAGAACTAGGTAAATTTTAATTATACACTGATAGGCAAAAAATTCCACCCACCTGTAATATAACTAGATTTCTATATATTTTTATGTATTACTAAAAGTTTCGCGTTTTTTAACGTTTAGTAATTGAGTCTTTGTCTAAAAAAGTAAAAAAAAGTAAATAGCTAAGGAAAATGAAAAAAAGACGGACAGAAAAGTTTGTTTTAATTAGATTTTTAATTAATATTTCAATACCACGTATTTCCTCCTCTTGCGTTAATTACATCTCGAAGACGCCTCGGCATACTTTATACCACTCTGGGAATGTCTCTTTGCTGGAGGGTAGCCCATTTTTCATGAAGAGTCCTTTCAAGATAGTGGAGTGTATCAGGAAGTGATGGACATGCCCTTATTCGTCTTTGGAGGTTTTCACATAAATGTTCGATGGGCTGTTAAAGATAAGTTTGTACTATGTGAGCGGCATCTGGACGGGCATTATCGTGCATCAGGATAGGATTGTCGCTGATTTCATCGAGGATAGACAACGCATGATGTTCCAAAGTTTCATCCACATAACGAGTGGTCATCAAAGACCTTTCACGAACAACAACCGTGTGCGGCTCTCCATTGAAATTCCCGCCCACACCATCACTGAGCTAGGTTAAAAAGGTTCGATCCGGCTTCGTACCTTTCATTTCGCCTCCTCCACACTCTTTCACGCCTATCTGGAGATCGTAGAGCAAATCTACACTCATCTGTAAAAAGTACAGCAGACGAACCGTCCAAAGACCAATAGCTTTGTTTTCGAGCAAATGTGAGCCGTGCAACTCTGTGTGTTCTGGTTAATTCTGGTCCTCTTAAGGGGCGAAAAGCCATCAGTCCATACTGATTTAATCTTCTTCATGCAGTGCGTTCAGAAAATTGAACACTTCAAATTTCTTTGAGCTGCTGATTCGCTTGAACATAAGGTGCCAGTTTCGCCAAATTCTCAAAGTCAAAAAACGGTCTTCCTGTGGTTCTGTTACTCTAGGGCATCCAGAACCGGTCCTTCTATGGTAGGCTCCAGTTTCCAGAAAGCGTGTAACAGCGTCTCGCAGAGTTTCAATGACAATAGCCGCATACCTGATGAAACGTCCATCATCCGTAAGTGCCACACCCCGCCCAACATCTTCAGCACTAACTGGTATTTTTAAGTTTAAAAATTGAAATTATATAATTATATAAAATATTGGTAAAAACAATGAGACAAATTAAGGGCAGATTTTTTTTTTTAATCGAGAAAATGAAAAAAATCAATTGGGTGGAATTTTTTGCCTGTCAGTGTGCGTATTTTAGCTTATCTTACAGAAGTTTTAACTTCAGTTTTGCAAGGACTTTATTACATTATTATTTAATTTTATATTTTTCATAAACCGATCAGTCATAATGCTGGCTTCGTAGACTTATTTTTCGTACTCATGACCCTAAATAAAAAGACAAAAAGGAAAGAGGGAGTGGCCTTATTTTTTTTTATCCGCGAACCCTTTTCTTTAACCGAATAAAAGTAGTCGAAGAACAACTTAACAAGTTCCCTCCGCGACTTTCTAGACTCCAATTAAGAGAGTTCCGGCGTTCTGTATTCAGGATTCTCCGCTCTTGGCTCTTTGTTCTTCAGCACACCACGGTAATCGGTGGCGAACAATGGTTCGGCCCCTGGTCTCCGTACGGCTTTTGTTTTGTTATTCCAGGGCGGAGAGACAAAGAAAAGCAAGAGAGGAAAAAGACCTTTCCGTCCTCGACGGCCCTGCCGCTCCGTAGTAAAACCGGGCTCCCTCCCTTCATTTATGCATCCTACTGCCTTTCATTAGGCACCCGGTGAGTTCATAATGGAAGGATTAACTCTTTAAAGGTGTCCCTCACCCTCTTGTGCATGTACTAATCCTCAGGAAGGGACTTTAGATGTTTTAGGCCTCCTTGTTTATAATCCTTGTGAAGAAAGATGCCATCTGTGAGAATAATATTCACTTATTTATATTTGGCACTGTGCGTTAAAATTTCGTCAAAGTAGATTCTCGCATACTCGGAGCATGTTTTATGTCGTTAGCGTTCAAATTTAAGAAACCTGAGTTATATATGTTGTGATAATCAACGAAATTATTTGATTATAGAAAACAAGTTGAACCTTTAGGCACAACAACTCAACAGATGACCAAATGCTAAAACGCGACATAATAAAACAACGAGGATATGCAGACTATCTTCTAATTCAAAATGACATAATCTTTGATTCAACAAAAAAGCCCCTTGATGAATTTCATGTGCAATTCTTAACTTACAGTGAAACTAGGTATAATCACGAACATACCTCTTAGTGTGCTATTCGTTACCCTGTTATCAATCTCTACGGGGGAGTGTTCTGTTAAATAATTTATAATATCGCGTTTCTTAAGCGCGTTTAAGGGGTTCAAGATTGGAAACGCACAATGAGTCTCTTTCCCTACAAATGGCTCATTCCCAGGCGTAATTGAGTTGTTCATGAAAACGAAGGATCATAACGCATCCTTATCCTCGAGGAAGAAGGAAAATTAAGATAATCCTTCGTCTAATTACAAATTCCAAACAGGTAACTCGTTCATTTCCAAACACGCCTCTATAAATACAAAACACCTTTCGACCATCGATTCCGCGTGGCCGACAGGAAGGACTTACATTAAACATAGCGCTGCTGGATAATTGCCTGCAATCATCCACGCCGTCTCTCCTCCCTAGTATTTACTAAATTGCTCTCCGATTGATTTGTTTATTTAAAATTGCTCTTGTTTTACGTCCATTCGGTGCACTATAGGGAGCCAGTTAAGTTATTACTACTCTAGCACCAACCCTAGCGGACTGTGCTATATACGAAATTCAATTGGAGAACTATTCGCCTTTTGGTTATTAATTTTATGCACACTTGGTTTACAATACATAACATTCCAGATGTTGATAATAAAAATCTAAAAGTGAACTACCGTTAAATGTATTTTCGTTTTCATTCTCAACTCAAGAGGCATATGAAACTGTACTGAAATTATTTACCAAATTTGCATTGATATATGATTTATTGAACATAAAAAATGCAGTTGCATTGATAGCTGATAGTTCTGTAGATAATTATTCAGGAATCGTGAGATGCGGTCTGGTGTGATGTAGGTTTCAGAAAAACATTTTCTTTATCGTGCCAACGTTTCGATCTTTATTGAGATCATCTTCCGGGCCTGGGATTTACAAACATTGTTTACATTTAACAAATACATGTAGGATGTATTTGTTAAATTATACATTTTTCCACATCCTACACGTATTTGTTAAATGTAAACAATGTTTGTAAATCCCAGGCCCTGAAGATGATCTCAATAAAGATCGAAACGATGGCACGATAAAGAAAATGTTTTTCTGAAACCTACATCACACCAGGATCTTACGATTCCTGAATAATTATCGATTAACGGTCACTAATCACCACTCGTTTTGTAGATAGACGGATAGATATATTTTATTACTTACAATACATAATATAAATTATATATGGGACCGCGGTGGCCGAGTGGTTAGGGCGTCCGATTCGTATTTGACACTTTAGCGGTCCTGTATACGATTCACGGCATAGTCCATGGATGTTGAATTGTGAATAATATAGAGAAAGTACTGCAAAGTGGTTTGAACCCTTGTCCGCGACACCGAAAGAGTAGTTGGACGTTAAGCTCTCCTTTATGACAACAATTACTTAATTGTAGTTTTTCTGTAAAGCACGTATGTTAGTATAATAAGTGTAATTACACTTTTTATCATAAACTATATTCACAAAGAAAGCAATTAAGAAACACTAATGAAACAAAACAAAATTACTTTACCTTCAGGGAAAAATACAAAGAAAAACGAAAATTTATAGAAAAAAAAGTTTTTCCTAAAATTACTCTGGTTGTTGTTTTTCTAGTTCTTCTTTATTATATTTGTTTAATTTCAATTTTAGATTATATTTACGGACGGGGATAATGTTAGGAGATCTTTAGTTCTCCATGTTATTTGCATTTCCTTTTTCTGTGCAATGACTATATCCGAATGTATACATTTTTTGGTATTTTTTCTTATTTGGGAAATTACTTAATAGTTTTTCATTTTTGCAGCAAAATATATGTAATTTTGTAAAATTCATTTGTTATGTCACTGCTTGTTGACTTGCTATTTTTAAAGTAATTTTAGTCTCTTCTATTTCTTTATCTTCGAAAAATAAGGTTTCTTTCCATAATTTTCTTTCTTTTGGAAGAGGACCTCTACCTAGTCAGAATGATAGAATGTTAAAGTTTATGAGTATTTGTAGATCGTGAGGTGCGGTCTGGTGTGATGTAGGGTTTAGAAAAACATTTTATTTATCATGCCAACTTTTCGATCTTTATTGAGATCATCTTCAGAGCTCAAAGTGTTCGTTTTCTGTGTAGATGTGTCATTCTGTGTGTCTTGTTGAGAGTCACACAAGAATGACACATCTACACGGAAAACAAACACTTTGAGCCCTGAAGATGATCTCAATAATGATCGAAACGTTGGCATGATATAGAAAATGTTTTTTCTAAAACCTCGATCTCCAAATAATCACGGCTAACCTCACAGATAAAGTTTATTATAAAATCTGTAGCTACCTGCTCCATTCGCATGTGATTTTTACCATTTTTCTTCATATAATATTTTTTTTCTGGGTAGAATCTAATACATCTTATCTTCCTAATCCTCTTAGTTCTTTTAGGTTTTTCTCTCTCCTTTACTATGTTTTTTGTTTCTTCTGATAGGAAGCATCTTTATGGTTCTGTAATTGTCGAGTATCTTTCAAAGCTGTTACATATCAGAGTACATATGTTCATACTGCTTTTGTATATTGTTTTTGAGATTTTCATTACTACAAATAATTTTTTTAAACATGTTTGTTTATGTTGGAATTTGGGCCTCACTCATTTTTTTATTACTCCAATAGTAAATTACCACCCTGTGTTATCATCGATATACATTGTCGTATTGCCATTATTAAAATTTAGGATAGCTATCTTATATATAAGAAAGACAGTGGGTTCAAGAACCGATCCTTGGGGTACATCTGCTTGCAACGTACTTGCATTTGAGGCCATTGTTCCAAACACTACCACAGGCTTTGCTAATGGCTAAAGCCTTTTTTTTCACTGCATATGGCTTGACGAGCGTACTATAGATTTGATATCTATCGTAGTTTGTCGTACCTCAGCCCGTTCCCATGGCGCAAAAAGGCTCGTGGCTTGGCGAATCTCGAGCGGCCACGGGTCACCCATTGAGTAATTCTTTTATGGAGTCAGTTTTGATTTAATGTGGGTTCTATTAAGATTTATAGATGTTAAAGAATGAATTCAATTCAGAATAAACCAATCACACATCACAACAGATGGAACCAAGCCGTAATGAGACTCATTCTTAGAGATTTAAGCGTTTAATGCCTGAGTATTACCTTTTATTTAAAATACACTGGAAAGGTCGAGACATCTCGAGCAATAACGAGTATTACATATCCATGGCGTAAAGTATGACCATCTTCAGATCAGGCTCGCTGTGAGAACAAGTCCTTCCAGCTTTGTGTGTTTTTTTAAATTAAAATTCTGCATTCTTGGGGTTAAACTGTTTCAAAATCACAACGTTTAAAAATTTTAATGTTTACATTTTTCCTTTTATCCTTCAGGTTTCCTTCTCGACTCCATAAATTATACCGTGTATCAGGTCTAAAGAGTGGAATATGCATTTCTCATTTTGCCCAAATTTGACTTATCCGGTTTACCCGGAGAGTGCAGAATGGTGTTATATGATCTACCAGTCATTTAGTTAATCGTTATTTGTTATTGACTTTATTATCAGATAACCAGAAATGTTCGTGCCGTTTTTCATTTGTTTTTGTTTTAATACTGTTAATGAACATTTTATATGCATCGAAGGATCGCTTAGTAGTCAGCTCGTAAAATTTTAACTGCGCTCGGCGATGAAATCAAAAAGGATCCACTGCCCAAAAGTGGTTCAAACTGTTTGCTTCGGGAGTGAGAGAATTGAAGACGAACCACCATGAATGACGACGAATTGAGGGAAGTTATCGAACTTGTGTCCTGTCAAACATGTCAGGATCTTGCCAAAGTCTTCAACGTAAACGATTAAACCATTCTGTCTAGCTTACTTGAGAAAATGTGTACGCTGAGCAAATGGGTTCATCATAAATTGCAAATAAATCATAAATGACCGACGTTAGCAAGCTTCAGGCTTTAAACGTTTCCTTTTCATTGCTTTGCCTCACAAAGCTTTTGACTAGATTGTCCCATTCGACGAAAAGTGGATCGTTCATATATCTGAAGATAGTACCACGAACACCACACGAAAACCGAATAATAACCAACAAAGAAAAGGAGATTTTTTTGAGTTTTATCGGATATTGTTTTATATTTTTCGAACTACTTACATGCTCTCACTTATGGTTTCATCACTGAATGCGTGAATATTTTACAAGCTGCATCAGCCGCTACAGTACCGAGCTAAAATTCGTACAGTAAGAATTATGGGTTTTGAAGACATGAGAAAGAAAATGCTTTATAATTTACAGCGAATTATTCAAGACACTTTTTCGTTATGAACTGACGCATTATCCTCTTGGTTATTATTCATTATACTTGATGTAAACATCAAAACCTCCTATGTAAACAGAAATGTTAATTAACTTAAATTAAATGTAATTAAGTATTAAAACAATAACAAATGAAAGGCCGCACAAACATCTAATCTTTACTTTGCTCACAATAATTTTAAAATATTGAAATTATAATGCAAAACTTATTTTATTCTTTAAGGCAAAGTCTAGTTTGTTTGTCGATATTTTAAGCCTCGAACGTTTTTTATTGACATATTTTCAAAATTGAAATTTTTTTGTTGAAGTCGTGAGGAGCGGTCAAGAATGAGGTAGTTTAGAACAACACCTCTTACTTTTTTTTACTCGACGTTTCCACTTTTAATTGGGTCATCTTCTGGTCATAAAATAAGGTGCTGTTCTTATGGTGCCATCATTGGTTTTGTGTGAAAGTGTTGTTGTACACACAAAACCAATATGGCACTACAACATTAGCATCCCACTTTATGCCCTGAAGATGGCCCGAATAAAGTTACGTTTGTATTTGTTTTTTTCAGTGTTTAGTATTTGTATTTTGTTGATAACAAGGTTGGATTGGTTTTCAGTGTCGTAGATGAGTTTATTTCCCGTTTTTGCAAATATTGCGATGTAATTCCAATGTGTTTGGCTGGACAGGTACTACAATTAATTTTATATATTACAATCGGATTTGTGGATTGATGTTCTGTCTTTGACTTTGGAAAAAGTAAAAAAGAAACATTAAAAAAAATCTGCCCGCCACCCATCGTCAAAAAATTATATAAAATAGCTGAATACAAATTCACGTTTCACAACGATTTCATACAACATCAATATGATACCACAAGAACAGCATCACGCTTTATGTAAATATGAAACAGTTGGCATCGAAGTTTATATTCACTTCTGAATTGTATTTTTCCAATCAATATATATTTTGTAATTCACGCAAGCACTGAAGATGATCCGAATACAGGTCGAAACGTCGGCAAAATAATGAAAAAAGGTGTTTTTCTAAAAACTACCTCAATCTTAACCGCTCCTCACTTCAACAAATAATATTCCTATGTTGATAATCTCCTATAAAAAAAGTCGTCACGGCTTCAACAAATTATGAAACAACAGTTAGTGGCCTGTTTACAACATACATTAAAAATTTTCTTATTCGTTCTCCTTTAATTTTTTAATACAAATTAAATTTTCATAAACTAAAAAAAAAATTAAAATTGAAAAACTTGTTACATTGTTTAACATAGAAGTGAGTTCGATTAGTCCATTTTGTACGTATGACCAGTACATTCGAAATGTAGATCACGTCTTGAATTTAAAAAAAATTGAATTGAAAAAATCAATAATACTAGCCTAATATAACGTTAATATTATGATGAATACAAACAGAAGGGTGGTAATAATTTACAACGTTGAAAGCGTTGATATTTTGATTCTATAGCTAGGGAAAAAAGTCAGTTTTTTAGCCGGTTGACGGGATTGTCTGAGGCTGCGGTAGGAGGAAACGACCTGTTGACTTATGGCCCTTCCGGACACCTGGGGATTAGACACCAAGGGATTTATAGCTCTGAGGATTTCCCAGGACACCCTTGCAAGTCTTATCCGGACAATTTTAACAGCGGAGACGTCCGGTTGCAAAATTCGACCCCTCGGCAACGCACTCATCACTCGATGTACATGGGTTCAGAGTACATGGGCCTAATGGCCAGCAGTCACGACCTTTACTAATCAATGCCCGAATGAATTATCGATTTCTTCGTAAACTGTCATCCTTAGGTTAATGGTTATTTTTTGCGGATTATATTAGAAACCCAGTCTACTTTAGTATTACTTTTTTTTTTTTTTTAACATTTGCACAAAAGTTGAGAAAATACCCATTGGTATTACTCCAATGATACTAAAATATTGTCTGTTTAATTGATACTTGTGTCATTATCATTTTCACAATCATCACCATCACTTCTTAAGGTAATATCGCGGCCATTGTTTCTTCACTCGGCGGGGAGGGTTCGAGGGGATTCGTCGGATGCGAGGTTTATGGTGTGCTAATTTACTACGGTAGTTGGGAGAGTTTTGTGAAATTTGCGGTAACGGCAACCTTTTTCACCTTGAAAGAAAGGGATATGTAAGTCTGTATGTGTAGTTACGTTGAATACATAAAATGGAACATTTAGTATTTTTCGTAGTATTAAGGACTGGATGTTTGAATACGGCGGATGTTAGAATGTTTGGCTTACCCCCACACATCCATTCCGTCCGTCCATACAAGCTAACTATGGTGTTGTAAAGCTGTTTTTTATTTTTGTGAGGTAATTTAGAACGTTTGTCAAGAAGCCATGCAAGGGCTCTATATCAGGTCACAACCTCCTGACGTTTCAGTCGTGTGTGAGGATTCCAAGTCAGGTGTTTGTCGATGTACAGTATGTACCGCATATTGTCCGCAGTTGGGAAGGGAATCTTTTTACGGAGAGTGAAGGTAATGTGGGTAAATTTGTCTGTGTTAAATTTTATCCCTTTTTTTTACACCAAGAATCTAGTAGGGTGAGGTGTTATTGGAGGTTTCGAGTGGGAATGAGAAGGTCGGAGTTTCTAGAAATTGCTGTATCGACTGCAAATGTGAATGTGGTGGTTTCGGGATGTGATGGCTTGTCAGCTGTGAACACGTGGTAGAGTGTGTGGGCCAGAACGTTACTCTGAGGAACACAGGATAGGGAAATATGCAGAGATGGAATGGATGGAATGGCGTTCGATGACTTGGAAAAATCGGTCTGTGAGGTAATTGTGCAGTGCCCCAGAACAGTGCTGAAACATCCCATGGGAGGAGGAAATAATGGCTACCACATGGAACTGATTGACAGTTAAGTGACGGTTGTGAAAACCAAATTTACGATCGTGGATTATGTTTTGAGAATTTAGAATCGGAAGAATTCTTTTCAATAAGAGCTTTTCTAAAATTACATAGTACTTCTTAAATCTTTGGCGTTTTCTGTATGTTTCGTATGTTTTGATTGAATTGAATTATTAAAACTTTTTTATACTTTCGTGTTCTTCAAAATCAGGGGACAAACAGATTTATTGACTCGAATACCCGTGTACGGCGTACACGAGTCGTCAACACCAACAGCGAGAGAAGTTTCCCGATTAATAACGTTTTGATGGCTTCCGAATCCTAACTCGACAAGCGACAAGCGGATATT